TTAAGTAAACCAAGGTGTCGCTGGACCACACAGACCCTGTGGTTAAGTAAACCATGGTGTCACTGGACCACATAGACCTTTTGGTTAAGTAAACCAAGGTGTCACTGGACCACTCCACATAGACCTTGTGGTTAAGTAAACCAAGGGGTCACTGGACCACATAGACCTTGTGGTAAAGTAAGCCAAGGTGTCACTGGACCACATAGACCTTGTTGTTAAGTAAACCAAGGTGTCACTGGACCACTAGACCTTGTGGTTAAGTAAACCAAGGTGTCGCTGGACCACACAGACCCTGTGGTTAAGTAAACCAGGGTGTCACTGGACCACATAGACCTTGTGGCCAAGGTGTCACTGGACCACACAGACCTTGTGGTTAAGTAATCCAAGGTGTCACTGGACCACTATACCTTGTGGTTAAGTAAGCCAAGGTGTCACTGGACCACATAGACCTTGTGGTAAAGTAAACCAGGGTGTCACTGGACCACATAGACCTTGTTGTTAAGTAAACCAAGGTGTCACTGGACCTCATAGACCTTGTGGTTAAGTAATCCAAGGTGTCACTGGACCACATAGGTCACTGGACCACTATACCTTGTGGTTAAGTCAACCAAGGTGTCACTGGACCACATAGACCTTGTGGTTAAGTAAGCTAAGGTGTCAATGGACCACATAGACCTTGTGGTTAAGTAAACCAAGGTGTCACTGGACCACATAGACCTTGTGGTTAAGAAAGCAAAGGTGTCACTGGACCACATAGACCTTGTGGTTAAGGAAGCTAAGGTGTCAATGGACCACATAGACCTTGTGGTTAAGTAAGCTAAGGTGTCAATGGACCACATAGACATTGTGGTTAAGTAAACCAAGGTGTCAATGGACCACATAGACCTTGTGGTTAAGTAAGCTAAGGTGTCAATGGACCACATAGACATTGTGGTTAAGTAAACCAAGGTGTCAATGGACCACATAGACCTTGTGGTTAAGTAAGCCAAGGTGTCACTGGACCACACAGACCTTGTGGTTAAGTAATCCAAGGTGTCACTCGACCACTTTACACTGGACCACTATACACTGGACCACACAGACCTTGTGGTTAAGTAAACCAAGGTGTCATTGGACCACATAGACCTTGTGGTTAAGTAAATCAAGGTGTCACTGGACCACACAGATCTTGTGGTTTAGTAAACCAAGGTGTCACTGGACCACTTAGACCTTGTGGTTAAGTAAACCAAGGGGTCACTGGACCACATAGACCTTGGGGTTAAATAATCCAAGGTGTCACTGGACCACATAGGTCACTGGACCACTATACCTTGTGGTTAAGAAAACCAAGGGGTCCCTGGACCACTTAGACCTTTTGGTTAAGTAAACCAAGGTGTCACTGGACCACATAGACCTTGTGGTTAAATAATCCAAGGTGTCACTGGACCACATAGACCTTGTGGTTAAGTAAACCAAGGTGTCACTGGACCACACAGACCTTGTTGTTAAGTAAACCAAGGTGTCACTGGACCACTATACCTTGTGGTTAAGTAAACCCAGGTGTCACTGGACCACATAGACCTTGTGGTTAAGTAATCCAAGGTGTCACTGGACCACACAGACCTTGTTGTTAAGTAAACCAAGGTGTCACTGGACCACTATACCTTGTGGTTAAGTAAACCAAGGTGTCACTGGACCACTATACGCTGGACCACTATACACTGGACCACACAGATCTTGTGGTTAAGTAAACCAAGTTGTCACTGGACCACTATACCTTGTGGTAAAGTAAACCAAGGTGTCACTGGACCACTATACGCTGGACCACTATACACTGGACCACACAGATCTTGTGGTTAAGTAAACCAAGTTGTCACTGGACCACTATACCTTGTGGTAAAGTAAACCAAGGTGTCACTGGACCACTATAAACTGGACCACTATACACTGGACCACTATACACTGGACCACACAGACCTTGTGGGTAAGTAAGCCAAGGTGTCACTGGACCACTATACACTGGACCACTATACACTGGACCACATAGACCTTGTGGTTAAGTAAGCCAAGGTGTCACTGGACCACACAGATCTTGTGGTTAAGTAATTGCAATTTCATCGGTTTCATGAAAAGTATTGGGAATTGATGTTTAGCGTGGAAATTATTATGATTAATATCAGAACAAATCAAAAACATAGGAATATGTATATGCATTAAAACCTGTACTAGAACTATGACATCGTCATTGAATTTCAAAAGTATTTTATTGACAATACATATATAATACAAACATATAAGTTAACATTAAAGAAGATATTAGAACAGTATTGACAAAAGAATAAGACAACAGGCTTTGCCTATATCAGTCTTCTTCTAATTCCGGTAGCTATGTACAATGCTTAAATATATGAAATGTTGTGATTCGTTTTCCTCTCACACTCATGCACACCCACACCCACACCAGCTTATGTCTAATACTCGTTATTTAAGGGATAAAACTTGCCTGAATAGCAATAATTATAACAATGNCGTTTCCTCTCACACTCATGCACACCCACACCCACACCAGCTTATGTCTAATACTCGTTATTTAAGGGATAAAACTTGCCTGAATAACAATAATTATAACAATACATGAATATTCATTTGGAAATTTATCTAGCACGTATAAGTAACGAAACGTTTTGATGATTTAATATAAGAGTCAACATGTATAAGAATAGTTTTATTTAATTGGTTGGATGCATTACTAATACCATATACTAAACAGTGCAGATTTAAATATCCTACTAGATTATAAATAGTGGTAATATGATGCCTAATATTAGAATACAGAGGACATTGAAAGAAAAAATGTATTAGATCTTCCCTCTGTACACCACATACACAGGAAGCATCATCAATCAGATGGTCTTGTAACTTATCACAGTTAAGATCACTTTTAAAATTTCTTAGCTGACATAAAATTATGTTAAGTTTCCTCGGAACACAGTTAATAAAAGTTTCTGAGACGGATGTATCAAAGGTTTTTTTAAGTTTCTTTTTAAAAGATGAAATTGAGATGGAGTCTCGTACAGTGCTATCAAGTGCATTCCATTTTACCATTGTAGAAGGGAAGAAGCTATTCATATAAGTAGTAGTTCTTGTCTGTGGTATATTAAAGAATCTGTTATTTCTGAAGGTATAGTTATTATTTACATTTAGAAATGGTTGAATGATATTATCGAGATAAGTTGGAGTGTAATTATTAAGAATCTTATACATTAATGTTAGTTTATGATTTTGTCTTCGTGTGTGTAATGTTTCAAGTTGTGTTTCAGTATACAGAATATGATGAGATGTACCTCGTCTGAGGCCAGTAATTAAACGCATAGCTTCTAGTTGAACTGATTCTAAAAGATCTGATTCCGATTTGGTACAATTATCCCATACTATATCAGAATATTCTAGCACAGGTCTTATATAAGAGACATATAATGTTTTTAATGTATTCCTATCAACTGTAGTTTTTAAAATTCTAAGAATACTTAGTCTAGAGTTAGCTTTCTTATAAATATTTGAAATGTGATCTGACCATGTCCCTTTACTGTTAAATGTTAGTCCTAAGTGAGTATGGTGTTCATGTTGTGCAATTGGAGTATTGTTAAATAGCAGTTGAGGATGATTGGTAGATATATCATGATCGCTTCAATAATACGCAGAAATTCACTTAGGTTTAGATTGTTTCTAATTTGATCTGTTCGTTTCTTAAAAACCGCATCTATCTGTTACGGAAATCAAATTGACCGTTCCACTAATTACGTCACTTATCCAATGGTCGTTGCTTCCGTACACTGAACGCCCTCCTTCCGGTTCTAAGGATGTACCTTTATTTTTCCAATAATTAGAAAACAGACCTGAAAACAAAGACTATATGATATTGCTTACACGTCGAATGAAGACATATGTGTTGCCCATAAATGTCCTCTATTACGGCGAGAGTTGGCGTGGTCCGGAAGACAAGACCATCAACGTTGATTACCGATCGTATGAACAACACATACCTGTTATGGGCAAATCACCGGCTAGACTATTAGCATATATTTGTACACAGAAGTCATTCCTGTTTATCTGACAAGGATAAAACAAAATCTCAAAGTGAATTGATAAAAAAACATCAATAGTTGGGAAGCCTCAGTTCTGTACCCGTGACTTGAGAACGACTGCGCGCGCTACCATTAGTTCCGGTAAGTTCCGGTGACAGGGAGACCGAAGCCTACTGTGGAAAGCTGCTCCGATAGCGCTTTGATAGCGTCACGCCAGACCAGTAATGATGTTTTATGCTCTAAGGTAGCAAATTAAACGCTCAAAAATATATTATCATTTGACATAAATTCATATCATTGGCATCGTTTAACTGATGACAAAGCAACACGCAAAGTCAGAGGCGAACCTGCATAAGTGGTATTGTCTCATAAACTCGATCAAGATAAAGAAGCAAGCTCCGACGCAGTTTATTTCCGGGATAGTAGCAAGATCTGAGAAACAACAGGTAAGAAAAAGCCGGATTCTTGTTATAACTAGATGCGTTAAAGTTTTGGATTTAGAGGTGCCTTTTATGCTTTGGTTTTCTTTCACTATGTGCAAAGTCAAATTGACTACACCGTGAAAATTCTTGTCAAGATCCAAGGACATAACTTTTGATTATAACCATATTTCGTGAAACAAGAGTTCAGAAATTTCATTTTATATGGGCTTGTTACATAAAACATGTGTCTGTCTATTAAAACATATTTGGAGCAAAGAACTAGAGCAGAGAGTACGCAATGTATTCTCCAGACGCAAATACACATTTTTTTGTTACAAACATGTGACACTGATTTACGATAACATGACTTGAATGAGGTATATCACGTTTGAATTATGATTATTGACATAATTCTTCCTTTACCTGTCTTCCAACAGGTGCTCTCTACTACTAACAGGTGGCTTACACCTTTTCTACCAAAGTCGGCTAATCATTTTCGACGCCCGGAATTATTACAGAATCCACATTCACTACGTTACAACAAGGCCTTTATGTAAGATCTACTTCGGAAGTTCTAGCTTATAAGCTCAGAAGGTAAGTCGCTACTGTTTATTTTTAATGCCGGCTCTTAATGATTTTCTGTAGGCATGATAAGGCTTGGGTTTATTGTATTAACGTGATACCCTGTAAATTGTTTAGAGGCTATTTATCATTTTTGCTGCAATTAAGATAAATTATATAGAAGTTGCAATAACCTGAGTAGGATGGTGAACGCTTATTTTACCTGCTTACCAGATCGTCTGTTGCAATATGAGGAGATACACGCCTTTATATACGCCGCCAATAAAGCTCGACCAAAAACAACTGTGTAACATTCTTCCATGTCATATAAAAATGTCAAAACATCATTTATTTCCATAATTCATGTTAAAGTTCAGAATCAGTACTAGCACGCAAGACTACTGTTAAGGCTGACTTAGCATTTCACTTCCCAATCATAAGGTTTCTCTCGCGTGCAACGGGTGTAATATATTGTAAGGAAGAATGTTTCCTATGGTATCACAGCATGAACATGTTCTTAAATCTTGAATATATCTTATCAATATCGATTTTGGAATGACAAAAATAAGACTTTATTCGCAAGATACAAACGCTATCGGTTCCTTAGACTCGACCGTGTATCTAACAAAAACAGTCTTTATATACACAAATCGGATATTATACCGGAACATGCAAATTTCTGATTTAAGAATTGTTAATTGCTTCGTGAACGATTAAATTTTAAATGAAATACATGCTCCCTGTTATGTTTTTCGACTTTTTATTTTGATATTAAATTTCTAAAATATCAATAACCCTTTTGTTGCTAAAACCTGAAGAAGAATGTCAATGATTTATTGATGTTTAAACACACGCTCAACCCAGTATGACTTAGCAACTATATAAATATCTGTATATATACTATCGTTATACTCGTTTGGGAGTTTACTAAAACACAGTTCTGTTGGTCGAGTTATCGATGGGGTATTGCTTTTCTTTCTTTATCTTGGAGAAATCCCGGGATTTTGAAATAACTTAGATTTCATAGATCTTCCGTAAATATCATGCTATCAAAAACGTAATTTTAAGTAGGCAAATAAAACAACTTATCCTGGGTTCGTTCCCATTACATCCCGTTGTTGCACGTGTTTCCTGTGATCGGTATCGGTGTAAAACGTCCTGTTCTATCGTGCTCGGTAGGGTTCAAGTTGGCCCTCCGGGAACGATTTTTGTCTAGTCGGATACTCCGAAATGTATCGTGTCTTCTCCAAAACAACATAACATCGTGACGTGGTCAACACAGCATTGTCGTGTCCTATTAAACGGGGAAATAAAATCATTTGAAAAGCATTGATAAGAAAGCAACTGTTTTTCTTATCGGTGAGTTTGGAGTTACGAGCTCGTGTGTAAATAACATTCAGAACAAGTATGATATTACCCTGTTCAATAGCACTATACTAGTGGGTAATGGAGCGTGGCGATTCGTGAGTCAAGGGATCGTCACCTCGTGAGCCATTTGTTAAGCCATTTGTAAAACGGGTTCTAAATGACGACAAAAACAACCTGTCTTAATAAAACAAATACGTTTACAGTAAAAACAGCTAGTACCGTATCTACAACTTCCTCATAGCTTGGTTATTAGCACGGTTATTGTCAGACAAAGGAAGGATGTCTGGTAAATATATTTTTACATAAATGTGCTGAATTATAATGTAGAAGAAACGATTGTCTATCAATTCTCTCTGATAATATGATTTATCTAACAAACAAAATTAAAAGTGCTATAAATATAATCCTTAATATGAGTGAATTCTTTTTCATGTTAACGTGGATATTGTAACAGTGCCCTTTGTCGTCACTTTATCACGTGAACGGGGATATTTTACCAGTGCCCTTTGTCGTCCCTTTTTCAGGTTAACGGGGATGTTTTAACAGTGGCTTTGTCGTCCCTTTTTCACTTTAACGGGGATATTTTAACAGTGGCTTTGTCGTCCCTTTTTCACGTTAACGGGGAAATTGTAACAGTGCCCTTTGTCGTCCCTTTTTCACGTGAACGGAGACATTTTAACAGTGACTTTGTCGTCCCTTTTTCACGTTAACGGGGATATTTTAACGGTGCCTTTTGTCGTTCCCTTTTCACGTTAACGGGGATATTTTAACAGTGGCTTTCTCGTCTCTTTTTCACGTTAAAGAGGATATTTTAACAGTGGCTTTTGTCGTTCCTATTTCACGTTAACGGGGATATTTTAACAGTCCATTTTGTCGTCCCTTTTTCACGTTAACGGGGATATTTTAACAGTCCCTTTTGTCGTCCCTTTTTCAGGTTAACGGAGATATTATAACGGTGGCTTTGTCCTCCCTTTTTCACGTTAACGGGGATATTTTAACAGTGGCTTTCTCGTCTCTTTTTCACGTTAAAGAGGATATTTTAACAGTGGCTTTTGTCGTTCCTATTTCACGTTAACGGGGATATTTTAACAGTCCATTTTGTCGTCCCTTTTTCACGTTAACGGGGATATTTTAACAGTCCCTTTTGTCGTCCCTTTTTCAGGTTAACGGAGATATTATAACGGTGGCTTTGTCGTCCCTTTTTCACGTTAACGGGGATATTTTAATGGTGCCTTTTGTCGTCCCTTTTTTACGTTAACGGAGATATTGTAACAGTGCCCTTTGTCGTCTCCTTTTCACGTTAACGGGGATATTTTAACAGAGGCCTTTTTCGTCCCCTTTTTCAGGTTAACGGGGATATTTTAACAGTGGCTTTGTCGTCCCTTTTTCAGGTTAACGGGGATATTGTAACAGTCCATTTTGTCGTCCCTTTTTTACGTTAACGGAGATATTGTAACTGTGCCCTTTGACGTCTCCTTTTCACGTTATCGGGGATATTTTAACAGTGCCCTTTGTCGTCCCTTTTTCAGATTAACGGGGATAATTTAACAGTGGCTTTGTCGTCCCTTTTTCAAATTAACGGGGATATTGTAACAGTCCCTTTTGTCGTCCCTTTTTCAGGTTAACGGGGATATTTTAACAGTGCCTTTTGTTGTCCCTTTTTCACGTTACCGGAGATATTTTAACAGTGCCCTTTGTCGTCCCTTTTTCAGATTAACGGGGATAATTTAACAATGCCTTTTGTCGTCCCTTTTTCACGTTAACGGAGATATTTTAACAGTGCCTTTTGTCGTCCCTTTTTCACGTTACCGGAGATATTTTAACAGTGCCCTTTGTCGTCCCTTTTTCACGTTCACGGGGATATTTCAACAGTGCCTTTTGTCGTCCCTTTTTCAGGTTAACGGGGATATTTCAACAGTGCCTTTTGTCGTCCCTTTTTCACATTACCGGAGATATTTTAACAGTGCCCTTTTGTCGTCCCTTTTTCACGTTACCGGAGATATTTTAACAGTGCCCTTTTGTCGTCCCTTTTTCACGTTACCGGAGATATTGTAACAGTGCCTTTTGTCGTCCCTTTTTCAGGTTAACGGGGAAATTTTAACAGTGCCTTTTGTTGTCCCTTTTTCACGTTACCGGAGATATTGTAACAGTGCCTTTTGTCGTCCCTTTTTCACGTTAACGGAGATATTTTAACAGAGGCCTTTGTCGTCATTTTTTCATGTTAACGGGGATATTGTTACAGTGCCCTTTGTCGTCCCTTTTTCACGTTAACGGGGATATTTTAACAGTGGCTTTGTCGTCCCTTTTTCACGTTAACGGGGATATTTTAACAGAGGCCTTTTTCGTCCCCTTTTCAGGTTAACGGGCTTATTTTAACAGTGCCATTTGTCGTCATTTTTTCATGTTAACCGGGGATATTGTAACAGTGCCCTTTGTCGTCCCTTTTTCACGTTAACGGGGATATTTTAACAGTGGCTTTGTCGTCCCTTTTTCAGGTTAACGGGGATACTTTAACAGAGGCCTTTTTCGTCCCCTTTTCAGGTTAACGGGGATATTTTAACAGTGGCTTTGTCGTCCCTTTTTCAGATTATCGGGGATAAGTTAACAGTGCCTTTGTAGTCCCTTTTTCACGTTACCGGAGATATTTTAACAGTGCCCTTTGTCGTCCCCTTTTCAGGTTAACGGGTATATTTTAACAGTGGCTTTGTCGTCCCTTTTTCACGTTAACGGGGATATTTTAACAGTGCCCTTTGTCGTCCCTTTTTCACGTTAACGGAGATATTTTAACACTGCCTTTTGTCGTCCCTTTTTCACGTTACCGGAGATATTTTAACAGTGCCCTTTGTCGTCCCTTTTTCACGTTCACGGGGATATTTCAACAGTGCCTTTTTTGGTCCCTTTTTCAGGTTAACGGGGATATTTTAACAGTGCCTTTTGTCGTCCCTTTTTCACGTTACCGGAGATATTTTAACAGTGCCCTTTGTCGTCACTTTTTCACGTTCACGGGGATATTTCAACAGTGCCTTTTGTCGTCCCTTTTTCAGGTTAACGGGGAAATTTTAACAGTGCCTTTTGTTGTCCCTTTTTCACGTTACCGGAGATATTTTAACAGTGCCTTTTGTCGTCCCTTTTTCAGGTCAACGGGGATATTTTAACATAGCCTTTTGTCCTCCCCTTTTCAGGTTAACAGCGATATTTTAAAAGTGCCTTTTGTCGTCACTTTTTCAGGTTAACGGGGATATTTTAACAGTGCATTTTGTCGTCCCTTTTTCACGTTAACGGAGATATTTTAAAAGTGCCTTTTGTCGTCCCTTTTTCACGTTAACGGAGATATTGTAACAGTGCCTTTTGTCGTCCCTTTTTCACGTTAAAGGGGATATTGTAACAGTATACATTTGTACATGTCTATTTGGGGAACAGTCAAAACTATCATCCCGAGGTAAGGGAATCCCTTGGGAACTGTTTGCCCGAGGCCTCTAGGCCGAGGGCAAACAGTTCCACAGGGCTTCCCCCTACCGAGGAATTGCAGTTTTGACTGTTCCCTCATAGCATTGAAACAATTGTTTTATTACCAAATAGATATTTTAATATCAATGCTGACCGGGAAAACAGTTTTGACTGTTTCACCGCTACAGCCGAAATTGGACAAAAAGCCAGAAACAGTC